CTTGTACGACGCTTTTTGTAATATATGCAGGCTACCATATTACATTCCATTAACTCCATGGGTTTCACAGCCACCTACAACATCATATTCTTCCAATCTGAAGTTTCACATTTTTTCATGTCCCATACTTATGAAGTTGGTTTCATGGATTTAAATGGATAGGGTTTTTTTTCCCCTGTTCTATTTAATCTACTCTCATCCAGCTTTCCTAATCCCAACCCACTTTAAGTTCTTTGTTTTCTTTTCCATTTGTGCATGAACCTTAAGAATGTTGTTAAGTATGAAAATTCTTATAAGTTCGAAGTACAAGAACCTAGAACATGGCAAGCCTTTGATAAACACATGCAATACTTCTATCATTATTGTAACACTCAGAATAGTGTCTGTGCCTGACCAGACCTTCACTAAGTATTCATTAATCAATGAATGAATGACTAGATCAAAGATTCATTCATTCATCGATGAAATGAATGAATACCCTCATACACTGAATCTAAGGTTTCATATTTTTTCAACACACACACACACACACACACACTGGTTTTGCAAGATAGGATTTCTTTGTGCAACAGAGTGCTAGCTGTCCTGGAACTCGCTTTGTCGACCAGGCTGGCCTTGAACTTTCAGAGATCTGCCTGCCTTTGCCTCCTGAGTGCTGGGCATGTGCCATCCATGTCTGACAATTACTATATTTTTATTTCATGTGTATGAGTGGTTCCCTGTGTGTAGGTATGTGCAGCACATGTATGAATAGTGTCCACAGAAACCAGAAAAGGATGCTGGCTCCTCTGGAGTTACAGATGGCCGTGAGCTGATAGGTGGCTACTAGGAGCCAAACAGGGTTTCTGCAAGAGCAGCAAGTGCTTTTTAACAGCTGAGCCAGCTCTTGGGCCCCAGATTTATAACTTTTATATTATTTTTACAGACAAGGGAACTCAAGATTGGAGAGGTTAACTAACTTAGCTTGAGCCACCTAGCTGGAAAGTGATAGAACAGAGCTAAAACTCCCCACTCATGTGACTAGCCTCTCCCTACTGTGCTTCTCATATGCATGTTCAAATCAAGAGAGCCTGTAAGGCTTCCCGAGGTTGTATGTCCCAGCACTGGAGAAGTGGTTTCTCCTGTTGTGACCCTGGGACACAGGATGTGGAAAGGGCCCAGCAATGGGGAGTGAAGTTCTGGAAGCCTCCCTTCTTTCCTCCCCTCTGGGCCTCTCATGTTTCCTGTCCTAAACTCTGCTCTGATATTTTTCCCAAGGAACTAACAGCATGGTGTGTCCCTAAGGAGATAGTTTTGGGGCCAGGGAGCCAAGCCAGGGAGGTGACTCCATTGCTGACCAAGACAGGGGTCAGTGGACTCAGGGGCCCAGAAGAATAGGTATAAGAATGAGGAGATCTGCAGGAGACATGTAGTTGCCACTCTAAACTCCTTTGGGTAAAAAAAAAAAAAAAAAAAAAAACACAAATCAGTGGTCCTCTTAGGAGCTGGATGTGGTGGTGGTGCTCACCTTTAATCCCAGAACTAGGGAGGCAGAGGCAGGTGGATCTCTGTGAGATCAAGGTCAGCCTGGTCAACATTGAGAGTTCCAGAACAGCCAGTGCTACACTGCGTGGAACACACACACACACACACACACACACACACACACACACACAGAGTCCTCATATTGCCTATTCTTAGGACAGTTTGAAGCACAATAGTGACAATAGCTAATGTTTACTGAGTGACATTTTTGTGCCACTTTACTAGATTGAGTGTCTTTCAGAATCTCACAGCTAGCTTTATGAAATAGGAACAAATATGTTGATTATCCCCTTTCTCTTTTTTATTTCCCTCTTTCCTTCACTTACTTTCCCCCTTTCTCAAATAAGGAACCAAGCCAAATCAAGTGGTATACACCTGCAGTCCCAAAAGGCTGAGGGCAGCCTGGCCACATGACAGCACCTATTTCTTGTTCAAGGTTGTAACTTTTTCTGAAGATTTCGTTTACTTAATTAGTTTTTTTGAGACAGGGTTTCTCTGTAGCTTTGGAGCCTGTCCTGGAACTTGTTCTGTAGGTCAGGCTGGCCTCGAACTCAGAGATCTTCCTGTCTCTGCCTCCCAAGTGCTGGGATTTATTTTTGTTTATGTGTGTATGTGTGTGTGCATACACACCCATATATTCACACATATGCAGGTACCCACAGAGGCCACAAGAGGGCTTCAGATCCCCTGGAACTGGAATCATAGGTGCTTTGTTGCCACCTAATATGGGTACTGGGAACTGAACTCGGGTCTTCTGCAAGGTCAGCAAGCATTCTAAACTGCCATTTCTGCAGCCCCTAAGGCCCATAACTGACAGAAGATAAAACTGAAGTTTGAAACTACACAAGCTTTTCAACCCTTCAGAGCTGGATGACTATGGAGAGGAGAATGTGAACGATGGTGTAGAATAAAAACCTTGTGTTGTTTGGGCGGGGGGGGGGGGAGGGAAGGGTATGTCTGTGTGCACATGAGCATCCAAATGCACAAGTATGTGTGTGTTATGTGTATTCATGTAGAGGCCACAGGTTGATGTCTGGTGTCTTCCTCGGCAGTCACTCTCCACCTTATGTTTTGAGACAAGGTCTGTCTTATTGAACCTGGATCTCAAAGATTCAGCCAGGCTGACTGGCCAGCAAGCTCCAGGGATCTGATATCTCTACCTCCCCAGCACTGGGCTTACAGACAGGTACTGCTGTACTCTGTTTTCATGTGGGTGCTGGGGATCAAAACTCAGGTCCTCATGCTTGTGTGGTAAGTACTTTACCAATGAGCCATCTCCAGAGCCCCAGAAATTCAGTATACGGGTATGCAACTCCCTGTATTGTGATCAGATGTGGTTCTGAGAAGGAGAGTTCTCCAAAGTGGCCCTGACCTGATCTGAAGGCTGGGGTGAAAGGGCTCCTGCCACTCCTGGTTGTCAGATTAGATCCCTAGAGTTAGATGAAGGGGCTATAAAGTCTGGGTTGTTCCTTTGAGAAAAAGAGCTCCAGGACAGGCTGGCGTAGGAAAGAAAGCTTCAGGGGTATCCAGCCAGAGCTAAGACTATATACTCTGTGCCTAGCCCTTGAACAGGAAGAGCTCTGTGACTCAGGTGATCCTCTGATGGACCTAAGGCAAGGAGAACTTTCCAAGAAACAAGAGATACACAACCCAGGAAACAAGTACTTGGGGCAGCCAGTGCCACCTGTGACCCCTTCGTGCTGTCTCTCTGTCTGTGGGTTTCCAGCCACCTCGCTCCTACACTGCTTTTTCTGTACTCATAGCTGTCTCCTTGGCCTCGTCGGCACCTTCCTCTGGGCTCATTCTCCTCTCACACACCAGGCCTCTGTCTGCTGTGGCAGCTCTTTTGTTTACTTCCAGAGCTCCCAGGCTCACTACTAGCCAAACACAACGAAGCCAAGCCAGAGGGAACTCAGTTCCAGACTCAGTCTGGCCCCTCTGGGACAGGTAATGGCCTCCAAACCAAGGAGGCAGCTCAAAGAGGGCTGCCCCCTAGGCTGGGCTCTTGCTTCAGGTCCTGACAACCCAAAGGGAAAGGACACAAGACCTGCCCATTGTTGGGCAGAGATCCCTACTCTTCAGACAGCTTTGGCTGGCAGCCCTGGGAATCAAAGACCCAGCTGGAGAGAGGTGGGGGAAATTTTGAGGCCCTCTGGGTGGGAACCAGAGACTTGGACTTCTCCTGGTTCTTGTGTCTCTCTTTAGCCAGGTAGATTCTGGCCTTGAGCCCTCCACTCTGGGATCCAGGTACCTAAATTTCCATACCAGAGGACTATCCTCTCCAAAAGTTCATGTCCCATACTTCTTCAAAGATTCTAGAGAAGAAAAGGAAGTGAGCATTTACTGTGGGCCAAGTTCCAAGCAAGAAGCACTGTGAGGATGTGCCTGGCATTTTCTGTCTGTCTGAGGTCAGCAGGGAGATGGGTGATTAGTGTAAGTATGTACTTATTTAATGTGAAATGTGAAGGGAGGAATCCATTCTGACTCTGAGTGAACAGTGAGGTGCTTTGATCACACAGAGTCAGAGAGCAGAGGGGTCCCAGACCAGATCATTCCAGAACAGTGGTCAGTGGTAGAAATGAGATACCACATGGAGAAGGAGACCCTTGGCAGCCCAGATTCCTCAGTGGAAAAAGGTTGAGGGCCCCTTCAGTGAGGCCCAGTCGACTCTGTGATTAGGGACAGTGGGGGACCCGGAACTGAGCAAATGCTGGTGAGTGAAGTAGAGATGATTTTAAAGGAAATCAAGCCTCCTCCCCTCTCTTAAGGCTTCATTTTGGAGACAGTGAAGTTGATTAAGGAATGTAAAACTCTAGCTCTTTGCTAGGCCCCAATGGAGCAGAAGGAGCGGGGGGACCGATGGGCCTTTGGAAGGATCAGGAATGGGGTTAGAGGTGAGCGCTGGCCAGGACCAGCTGTACACTCAGTCTCACTCTGCTTCAGTTCCCAGGAGTGGGGGTGGGGTCCAAGCCTGAGAAACAGTTTATACCTGAGGCAGTTTATACCTCCACTCTCAGGGTCAGCAATTCTGTGAGGGATCTGGGGCCCCTGGAGTAGACAAGACATCTGCCACAACTTTAGGCACGAAGATTCAGCTTTTTATCTCATCAATGTACATTTTAGTCTAACAGTCTAATAGGCTCATACTCTACCCAAGTCCTTCCCCTTCTCCACCAGCCCCAGCAATGAGCATCTAATCTGCCCTACGGGTGGAATGTCACCAGGCACAAAGGTGACTCAAAAAGGGTGGCTGCCCCGTGAAGCGCTTAGGATAGCACCAGCTCCTCTGGTGTCTGGAGACCGAGGAGGCCGGAGCAGGAGAGATGGTGGCCCGAGTCTCATTCACGATCTGCTCTCCTGGGTCTCAGACCCACTTAGAGTCTGTTCTCTGGGCCTGTCACTGCCTGTCAGAGGAGTAAAGGGCAGGAATCTCCAGATGGGGGACCGTTAACCCAAATCACACCCAGAGAGTACCGCTTTCCTGCAGGCTGTCGGGACACTTCACAACCCCTCTGTGATTCCAGGAGCATGTGGAGGGGTTCTCTCTGAATGTGCCACCCTGGAAGACAGAGGGCCAGTGCCGCTACCTGCAGCCACAGGATTCCACGACCATGTCCTCGTACTGTTTATACACCACGTTGTTGGCAGAGTCAATGAAGAGGATGCTGATGGGACTGAGCCGTGTGGGCACACAACAGGTGGGTGGTGTGGATTCAGGATCCATAGAATTCATCAGGGTCTGGATGACTGCATGGTTTGTGGGCTCCAAATGGGAGCGCAAGGGGAACTCGCATAGTCCTTCGCAATGGAAAGCTTCATACTCAAGGGGTGCGATGATCCAGTCGTCCCAGCCCATGTCCTTGAAGTTGACATGCAAAGCTTTGCGACTGCAGCGAGCCTTGAGATTCTTGCTCGGTCGCTTGCCCTGGCGATTGGCCAGTGGGGCCCGCCGTTTCCTTCGCTGGCTGAACAGGTATTCATACACAGTCTTGTCATCCTGGCCAGAGCGGGCCTTAATCTCATTAAAGAACAGGTCCCGTTTCTTAGTACGACCAAACACTAGGAACAGGGCCTTCTCGTGGACCTGTCGGGCAGAGCGTTCAAAGCCCAGGCCGCGGAGGTCCACAGCCCGGCCCCGTTCCCAGGCCTCCAGCTCCAGGCACAGCTGCGCTGAGTTCTTAAAATTTCGGAAGAGTTTCCAGATGTCGAACACCTCCCAGCCAGATCCATCCAGGCCTGGCACGGAGCGCACATCCAGCAAGGCTGCCGGCTGCCGGCCGCTGGGGCAGCTGGACAGCTTCAGCTGGGCAACCCGCCCGCTACTGGGGACTGCGGGCTTGGCCATGTCCAAGGGCTTCTTCCGTAGGATCCGCAGTTCAGCCCCCAGTAGTCCATCCTTCTCCAGAGCACTGATGTCAAACACGTACCTCTGCTTCCTGACCACAGGGCCTCGGTCATCTGGAGAAAACAGCCGGAAGTCAATTCCTGTCACTTCACCAAGACAGCCTGCCACCTCTGGGCCTCCAGGGAGGACCTAACTCTCTCCCACTCAAAAGAGATTCCTCTAACCTCTACCCCACTATGGCAGAAGCCAACAACCCAAACCACCAAGAACCCTTTTCCAAATGAAGGTAGGTGTGCCGCTTTGCATGATCTGAGTGCCCCTGCTGTTTGTGATATGTATTAGAGCCACCAGCCTTATAAATGCCTTCTACCAAAGTCCACCCCATCCATGACCCAGCATGACTGTCTCCCATATGTAAGACAGGTGGTAGTGCATTTAAACTACCCACTCTTCCAGAGGAGGAGCCTGCAGCTCAAAGTAAGTTAGGGGACTCATTCAATGCCATCTAGCTAGGGGAAAGTAGAAACAGAACTGCAGCATATGCCTTTCTGAGTTTCTCCTACCCTAAGAATCTTAGCATTCTTGATCTGGGCAAGGCAAAGAGTTGATGTAACACAGCAAATTAATAACAAAGCCAGGTTTCACAAGTGAATATAAGGTAATATATATGCTATTGGCATATGCAAATGCAGTTGGGCTTCAATGAGTACTTGAAAAATGATGATATATGTGTGTATGCATGTGTGTGATTCATTTACCATGTGTACAAAATATAAGGCTGTGTGTGTGTGTGTGTGTGTGTGTGTGTGTGTGTGTGTGTGTGAAGCTCAGTGGTTATCTCTGAGTCAGCATGCCCTCCTTCCTAAATGCCAATATGCCATTAGGGAATATTCAGATATTGCTCTAGAAAGTAACTAATTAGGCCTTTAAACTCTCCATCTCCCCCTCCCAAAGCTCCTTTAGTGGGGGGGGGACACAAGAACTTATTTTATGAGCCCTAGAGGGGTCACAGCTTTCCCTGGCTGGGCAGGCAGCCAGGCCACCTCCCCCCACCTCTGCCAGACCTGCTGCCTCGTACCTCCCCCACCCCCTGTCATTCCCCTACAGACCAGCTCTAATGAGGAGCCTCTCCCACTCTCAGGCCCCTCCCCCACCCTGCCAGCCAAAGTCCCAAGACTCAGAACCTGAGACTGAACTGCAAGACACCTCACCAACTGCCAGTGGTCCAGGCAGCTCCGCACTGTGGTGAACCTAAGGCTCTGAGAAGGGAAGGGATTTGCTGGGAACACACAGCAAGTAGAGAGGAAGAGTTGAGCCAGTAACACTAGGTGGGTAGACCTCCGAAGAAGCAAGGAAGACAAGTATTCTCCTAGGTTACTGAGGAGAGCGGCAAGTGTTAGGATAGGATAGCGCTCAGACTTTACTGAGTCCAATGCCCATGTAACATACATACAGGAAAACAGACCCCAGGGAAGAGTTAGTCCCTAGGTCAGCTGCGACTCCAAGATGATATACTTCCTGGTCTTCCCACAGCCTATCCCTTTGCCCCCTCTCTGAGGTTAGAGCTGAAAAGCCACGGGGACCTAAAGTTGCTTTCTCTCTGCTGAAGAAAAGCTGAGGTGTAGAAAGGAGCATTGTAACCCTTACAGCAGTATGACTCAGTAATCAAGAGTGGACCTTGGAGTCTAGCATCCGGATCTTAGCTCCTCTCTGCACTGCAGTGCCCATGCTGCACCTTGCAGGAGTTGAACTTGGTGATCCCTAGGCATCCCTAGTGCTGGACTTGGTAGGTGTAAGTTCCAGACTCCCACCCTAGGCTGGATATACACACTGTCCCCCACCTGCGCACTCCAGGACTTTGGAACTCCTGGGTCTGTGCAAATGCCCCTCCCTGCCACCCCACCCCCTCACCTTGCCCTTTGTCAATAAAGCTGGTGATGGTGTTGGCCAGGCCAGCCTCCAACTTCACGCTGCTGTTGCGTCCCTTTCTGTCAGCATCGGACAGCGTCCTGTACAGCGAGAGCATGTATTCATGGGGTGTGATGGGGGGTGGGCGGAACGGCTCCTTGGGTTCTCGAGGGGTCCCAGGCTCCCTGGTCTTCTTCAGCAGGAAGGAGCTGGGGGCAGATCCTGCCTTTGAGGATGCTTTGCCCCCAGGAAGCTGTCCTTTTGGGGATACAGTCCGTGCTGCAGCCTGCCTAGTCTGGGGAGGGGGTCCTGGCTTGGTTTCAGGCCCACCGGATCTGGGGGGTATCTTTCTGGGTTCATCCTTCTTGGCCTGTGTTTGCCCAGAGCTTCCCTTTGCCCTGGCATTGGTAGGGCCCCCACCATAGCTTTGGCCCCCTGGCCTAAAGATGTTCCGGGCCAGGGGTGGCCTCTCCTTGGCCTCTGCTTTGGCCAACCCTGGCCTGGCCCCTGGGGGTCTCTGGCCTAAGTCAGGGGCACCCAACACAGTGCAGATAAATTCCAGGTCCAGCCAAGCCAGGTGCCAAAGCAAAAAAGTGAGGAGTTTGGGGAGTCTCATCCTCTGGCCAGCCGCTGACTGACACCACAGAGAAAGGCAGCGGCAGCGAAGGTGTCTCTGGCTTGGCAGGAAAAACCATGAAAGGAGTGGGTCTCCAGGAGCAGCGGCGGCGGCAGCAGGCAGGGCTTTCTCCTCAGTCTGAGCGCCTTGAAGTCCGCCGGGCGTGTGTCTGTATCCAGTCCCATAGTGGAAATGCTCCCGTGTCCAGACGTGCACCGTCTCCAGTCAGCAGCTGAAAATAACTCGTTCTTGAAAGGAGAAAGCCGACCGCCCCCTTTCTCCCGCACAACTGACTGAGGGCTTGAAGGAGGCTTGTATAAGGCTGAGGGATTTTTCCAAGAAGGAAGAATGGCGTAATGCTGCCTGTGCGCTCCAGTTTTTTTTTTTTTTTTTCCCCTCTAATTTTGAATCCTTTCCAGTGAAAATACTTACACACACACACACACACACACACACACACACAAACCTGCAGGTGCTCAGAAAAATCTTTTACAAACCTGAACTCAGGAATTGGAAACGGAATTCCAACCCAAACCAATTTAATTACTCTCTGATGTCATGCTGTCTAAATTCATTTAAGTGCGATATATTTATGTGAAAAAAATCACTGCTGCCCTTTGGAGGCCACGGCTCACGGGGGCTCTTGGCTCAGAGCCCCACAGCGGGACTCAGGCTTAGGGGGCCTCCCCATCCCAGAGCAGACTTAGGGGTCTTCACCTCCACCTCCTGGAGCAGCCCACCCCACCATCCTGAGCAGAGGTGCTGAGGAGTGAGTTACAAAGATCTGCAGGAACTAGGCATGCGAGCTAGGTTTTCAGTGAAGTCCTGAGAGAGAGAGAGAGAGAGAGAGAGAGAGAGAGAGAGAGAGAGAGAGAGAGAGAGAGTGTGTTGGGGGCAGCACAGATGGCAGAATTTACCCAGAGTTCTTTTAATAAACTTGTTAATAAACTTGTGACCCAGAAACAGAAAACAACAACAACAAAAAACAAAAAACAAAAAAAACCCAGTTCCCATTATCCCACTCCCACCAAATGCCATTTGCTAAGCACTGCCATCGTGTAGCCCCCTTGGCTGAAAACAGGTCCAGGGTGTGTGTACTCAAGCAAAGACCGCCAATTTTCTTAGAAGTTGGCTGGGGCCAGAGGCTGCAGCCCCAGCCTAAGGCAGCAGCGACCCCTGCAGGAGGTTGGAAGATAACGTTCTCATGGGCTGCTTTTCTAAAAGCTGGTGAAGAAAGCTGAATTCCTGCTCAACTCAAGAGTGTCCCTCTCCTTCCTTTCCTTCTTACTCTTTAGATAAGGTCTCGTGTAACCCAAGCTGGCCTCAGGTTCTTCATTGTGTACCCAAGGATAGCCTTGAATTCCTAATTCTACACCTACCAGACCCTGAGATTGCAGGCATGTCCTACCACCTAGCTCCAAGGGTTTCTGTAAAGTGCTTAGCTATTTAAACACCCTTCCTTTGGAGAACCCATGTTATCGAGCCCTCAGCAACTTACTCAGGGTCATGGAGAAGGGGGAGCAGCTTCAGGTGGATTGCTTCATGCACTGAGAGTGGTGGCCATCGGGATGAAACCCTAGGCCTCCTTCAGGCCTAATAGGCAAACACTATCACAGAGCTCCACCCATAGTCCAGAGTCTCTTCCTTTCCTTTTCTTGAAACAGTCTCCTGTGGCGAAAGCTGGCCTTGGACTTGTAAAGCTAGCTGAGGCAGCTCTGGAAGTCCTGATCCTCCTACATCCACCTCCTTGGTTACAGAGTGGGATTATGGAACTGTACCACCTACCCTAGCCTTCCTTATTAATCCTCACTCTTGCAGCTGACCTAACATCCATTCACATGCTAAAGTTGGTTTTCCGAGACTCCCTGCTGGCATGTAACTCAGTAGTCCAGTGAATGGTTAGTATGCCCAGAGCCTCACCAAGACAACCCCAAACAAAGTCCTGACTCTAGATAGCTAAGTGACTACAAGTCTGTTTTCTTTTTTCAATATTTACTTTGTTTGTGTGTATGTGTGGAAAGGGGGTTCTAGATGAGACCAGAAAAAAGCTATTAGGTCCCTTGGAGCTGTAGCAGCAAGCAGCTGTGTACCACCTTGACATGGGTGCTGGGAGCAGAATTCTGTCCTCCCCCAAGCAGAAAGTACTCTTTTTCATAACGTTGTTCTGGTTCACTTACTCAGCCAATCCAAGCTTCACTGATAGCTCCAGGTCTGAAGACTGGACTTCAAAGGGCCAAGGCACCACCTGCCCTCTTCACGGAGCCTGGAGCATGGCTTGAGCTCATTACAGTCCCGTAGGTCATCCAGGCCAAGCACTCTTGTCTCTTGTCTTTGCTACTGACTTATCCTTTACAGTCCTCTCTGGCATCTTCCTCCTACAGTCTCTGTCACTGTCCCAATCCTCCTCACGTTTTTACCTGCTACAATTCCCTTAGAAATGACTTCTTGGCCTCCAGGATCTCTTTGTCCCTACCCCTCCACCCCCAACACACACACCTAAAGCCTACCCACTAAACAAGAGCTGATCCACCCGTGCCAGCTGCTACATGACACAAAGCCAACCCTGACTCCCCAGGAAAGGCATGACTTCCAAACAACCACCACATGCCTGCTGGGCGTCTTTCTGCTCACAGAGTTCAAATCCATCCAATCTCAGCCTCTGCCCCCATCTCCAATGCAGGTCAGTTTTCCCGTCTGTGTGCTTTTTTCATAGTTTTATTTTAACTGAATTCCTTATGCCTATTATAATTTATGTACATATCTGTCTATCCCATTAGATTATAACTACACTGTACCATATTTGTCTTTCAATTATTCCCAGGGCTTGGCACAGAGCCCAGCACATAGCAGATTCTCTGTGTGTGTTGTATGAATGACTCTCAAACTGCTCCTTTTAAAGAAACACCATCATTTTCTTTTTTTATCATTTCTTTTTAAAAATAAGAATAAATAATGGTTTTGTTGTGATACTTTCATACATTTATATTATTACACTTTGGTCACATTAACTCCCTTATCTCCTCCTGTAACCCAGAAACCTTCTTCCACGAAAGTACCCTTTCTACTTTCCTGTTATATCTCTATATATTTATACATACATATATACATATATATATAAAACTTCTGCACATGAAAGAAAATTATTCGATGTTCATGTCCCTCTCCCCCACCCCTGTTAGCTTCCTGTTCTCACATCTCCTCATCGGTCCCTTCATTTTCCCAGTAGCCACTGGTCCTTCTTCTACTTTCAAGCACACACACCACACACACACACACACACACACACACACACACACACATGCTAATATAAGAGAACGCATGTGCTATTTGCATTGCTCAGTCTGAAAAACCATCATTTTAAACATATCCTTGAGTCCCTAAAAGGGAGAGATGCTATTTTGTGACTAAGTATTTTCTAAGCTCTATCTTCTGGATAAACAAAACTATGAATGAGTCAACGCAGACAACCAATGAGTGGCTGATAAAGATGAAGGTTCTGCAGGCAGGCCTGGGTTTGATTCTCGGTGGTTCTGCTATTTATACTTCATGTGATCCTGGAGAGCATTCCAACTGCAGTGAAGCTCTGAGCAGGGATAATGACAACACTGCCACACAAAGAGCTCCTATGGGTATTCCTATGGGAATGAATTATTAAAAACCTAAGAAGATGGCTAAAGACATGGCTCAGTGGGTTAAAAGTGCCTGCCACCAAGCCTGACAACCTGAGCTTGATGCCCAGGTCTCACAAAGTAGAAGGAGCAAACAGCACCAGCTTTCATAAGCTGTCCCAATACCCATCTTTCTGAGCACATGCACACGTGCATGCAAAATAAATACAATGTAACTTTTAAAAAACTGATAAATATTAGTAACAGCTACCCTTTCTGAGGACATATGTTCCACCAGACATTAACCTTTGCCTTCCATTACTTTTAAAACCTTACTTCACAATCACACCCCACTCTAAACAACTTTTGCTTAAGATCCTTTTAGCCTCCTTCATTTTACAGACACATAAATTAAAAATTTTAAATTACTTTAAAAATCATTTCTTCCTATTTGTGTGTGTGTGTATGAACACGTGTGAATGGTGCCCTTGGAGGCCAGAAGAGGGCATAGAATCCTCTGGAGTTCAATTTGTAGGCAGTTGAAGTGGGTGCTGAGAACTGAACTCAGGTCCTCTTCAAAAGCAGTAAGTGCCCTTAACTGCTGAGCCATATCTCCAGCCCAACTTATAAACGTATTTATTGCTACTATGTATGTGTGTGCATGGGTGCATTGCTCCACCACACACACACACACACACACACACACACACACACGGAGGTCAGAGCACACCTTTGCAGTCTGCTTTCTCCTTCTGCCTTTACTTGGGTCCTGGGACTGAATTTAGGTCAAGCTTTTGTGGCAAGCTCCTTTATCCCCCAAGCTGTCTCACTACCCCAAGTTACTTTGAAGTCCACATTCTCCTTTTCTGGGGTGTTTTGTTTTGTTTTGTTTTGTTTTATAAGACAGGGTTTCTCTGTGCAGCCCTGGTTGTACTGGAACTCACTTTGTAGATCAGGCTGCCCTTCAACTCAGAGATCAGCCTGCATCTGCCCCCAGAGTGCTGAGATTAAAGAAGTGTGCTATCACTAACTGACAGACTTGAACTCTTGAATCTCTTTTCTCTACGCCCTGTGTGGTAGGATTGCAGGTGTGTACTATTACGCCCATCCCTCTCCCAATATTTTTAAAAGTACATTTAAAATTTTTATTTCACTCTCTTTTTTCTTTCTTTCTTTTTTATATTTATTTATTTACTTATTTATTTTGAGATCAGGTCTCACTATGTAGCTCTGGCTGCCCTGGAACTCACTCTGTAGACCAGGCTGGCCTCCAAATCACAGAGATCCACCTGCCTCCTGAGTGCTGGGATCAAGGTCTAGCTTAAAATTGTATTTCTGTTTGTATGTAGTGGCACACAGAGGTCAGAGGACAATCTGGGGCAGTTGGTTCTCTCCTTCCACCGAGTGGGTCTCCAGGATCAAACTCAGATCATCTGGTTGGAACAGCATCTTTTTCCACTGAGCCATCTCAATGGCCCTTTTCAACACATATGCCAAGAATATTGCTCTAGAATGTGGTCGTAAGTGATAAGGTAGTATGGTGGGGACATTAGGGAATTTAACTTACAGCCAAGGACTCACCAAGTGGTCTGGAACTTGGAGGACATGGAGGGTCTCAGACAGGGGCTATTGTCTGAGGACTAGGAGACTCCTAGCAGTTGGGTAGGAGCAAGGAAAAAAAAAAATCTCCAAATCTGGATGGAAGGCCCTCTCCTGGGAGGAGCCCAGAGTTCCTGCCTGGCTCTTACTATAAAGGTGACTAATCACTT